CTATCCCTTAATGGACCCTTCAGCTAATAATATGTTTCTAATGAGCCCCTCCGCCTACTCCCCTTCATCTCAGGTAAAGTCACGTCCATTTTATTGTCTTGCCGTGAAATTCTCTATTTATAATCATCAAATAACGTAAACAAAAAAAAACATGTTTTTTTAGGATTACGTTAAGGTTTCATCATGGGATGTCGAAGAACAGAAACGAAAGCTTCTAATTTCATCGGGAATCGGCGACAACTTGTGTTACTTCCATTGAAGAACAAGAACACGAACAAAAAAATGAAGGGAGGAGGATCCCGTTTTAGTCATCAGAGCTCTGTGGCTGCTCAAGTTTCGAGAATCTGCAGTGATTTTTTTAGATCAGAAAATAAATTTATTTACTTTAAATGTATTAGTGTTAGATGATAAACCATATTTATTTTCATTTAATGTTTGTAATTTCCATTCATCTGTTAATATATGCAATTTTTTTCCATTCCTCGGTTCTTTCCCGACTTCGAGAGAGGGTTCCACATCCTTGTAAACAATATTTTGATGTCTTAAACGCGTATGTTAGGAAGAGGTTTTCACATCATTATAAAAAATGTTTCGATTATCCTCTCCAACTGATATGGGATCTCACAGTCCACGTTTGAGATGTTTCCACACCCTTATAAACAATGTTTCGTTCTCCTCCTCAATCGAGAAGGATACTCTAGTAGCCGAAACTTAATACTAGCAAATATTGTTTGTTTTTACCCGTTATGTATGGCCGTTAATTTAAACTTAGAAATGTTTCGTTTTCCTCTCTAACCTATGTAAGATTTCACAATCTACCTTATTTGGAGTTCAGTGTCCTTGGTTGGAGAAGATAAGCGTATAGAAACTTGTTCTTTGTAGATGCGTTTTAAAATGTGAGGCTAACAGTCATACATAACAGGTGAAAACAGATAATATCCACTAGTAATAGATTTGAATTATTACAACTACGTCACGTCACGTCACGTAACGAGTACACAGCATTGTGTGTCAAACTTCTACTGTTTTGTGCTCATACAAAATGCCAAAACTACATTAATGAAGAATTCAATCAAATCCTCACTCATAAAGCTTAGAGATTCTCAAGAACAGTGATGATATAAAGCTTGAACAGATAGAACAAGGGGTGATTTTGAAGTAAGTTAGAAGAATCATATGTAAATTATGAGAGATTCTGAGTGTGACACAGACAACATGGAACAATATTTGAAGAACTGGGGAAATGGATATGTTTCTTTATCTTCTTTTTTTGATTGTCACTGTTGTTTTGCACTGGTTGTTGTGTGTTTGAATTAGGGTATTGAGAAATAAAGTTAAAAGGGGACAGTGATGAAGCCATTAACAAAACGCCATAGCCAACCAAATCTCTCTTTTTTCCAAGCTTCCATGTGAAGGAAATCCATGGAGGGTCATCCTGTCCACCTCCATAATATAGATTAATTGATTCTACAAAAGGCGTCAAATTCTAAGATCCCATGTCGATTGGAAGGTGGAAGGAGTGTCGGCCAAGAAGTCGTGGTTCCTAACATGACATCAGAGTCATGTCTTAACTCAACCATGTCAATAAAATTCTCAATCTTCAAGCATCGAACAAAGAAGTTGTGAGCCTCAACACAATCATACCTTAATTTAGTCGTTGCGAGCTTCAATTAAAGATAGACTATTCGAGAGCTCTAGAGAATGAGGCCTCGACATCATACTATTATGACCCAAATAGGTATAGTCCCACATGTTGAATTGTTCTCACCATCGTAATTTTGGACCCCAAAGTTGATCTCCAAGATGTCCTATTCTCTCAATTTTCTCATTATATAAATATTATTTACAATAAAAACTGGATAAATTTTTAATTAACCCACCAGCCCATCAATTTGGTGGGTTCATGGGACCCTCCTGACCCTTCTGTTGTTCATAATATATATATATATATATATATATATATATATATACACACACCAAGGACTTATCACAATCTACATTTATTTAATTACAATTTGGTGTGTAAGGTATCCGACATTGATGCATGGTCTTGTTTCTTTCGGTTCCGCCCATGTCTTCTACTATTTCATATCATCCCTCTCAACCTTCACCATCAAGATCGGAGGTCTCATGAAAATTTTTAGGAGGTCATCCAACATAAAATTGTTCAAATTGTTCAAAGTAAAACACTTAATCATGAAATTCCTGTGTTCTTGTTCTTTGGTTGTTGTTACCCCTGCGGCCGCCACCACCACCGTATTAAGTGATGGGCGACCAAGAAAGGGGGTGGAGGAGGGACCAGTGGGTTGGAGAGGGGCGGTGGTTGCGGCCAAAACGGGGGCAGGGTCCACTGGAGGCAAGCGCCTATGGGTTGGCCCCTCACCCATTGAATTGCCTTGTCCCTTTCCAGCTCTTAAACAACAAATAATATGTGTCCACATCACTCAGCAGCAGCTAACCCTAACTGATGCATGGGCTGTCTCAAGCCAAAACAACATCCCCCAACAAAAATAAAAAACCTTATTATATCCATACTAATTAATTAATTAAATCAAAATCCCAAACTCCATAATTAAAACTACTACATAAAATAATAATAAATAATAATAATAATAATAAAATACCCAGTAGCGTATATGTTTGGGCCCTTGTCCTTTATACACCAATATTTATCCCTTTTGAGAGTCCAGCGTCTTTACTGGCACACTACCCCTATCTTATCCATAGTAAATATTTTTAATATATTTGGTTATAATGGGTAAATAAGTTGTTTTTACCAATGACTCATCCGACTTAGTGGGCCATATGAATGGCAATGGCCCAACTAAAATGGTGGGCCTTAAGAGTCCAAGTAAAAGCGTGGACAATTAACCCAACTCAATTCAAGCTTGACGTACCACATGGGCCTTGACCGTAAGCCCACCACACTCAACTTATGTCAATATTCCGCTAATTCGAAAATATTTTTAAAAATAAAAAATAAATAAAATTTAGTCGAAAATATTTTTAAAATTTGATACAAGCATCTATGGTTAATCTCGATCATTTTTAAAACTAACCCATATGGTTAGTTCGTATTAAATGTGAGAAAAATATTAGCAATTTTTATTCGATACAAATAAATTATAAATGAAAAATATTTGTATCATTATGACCACAAATTTAAAAGAATCGAAACGTAGCACGAGATACCGACATGAAAACGATTCTAGAAGAAGGATAGTGATTGTGTGGGATGAAGAAATGGTCAAACCTTAGGAAATGGGTATTAGAATGATGGGCAAAGTGATGGACAAAATCATTAAACAAAGGAGGAAGCTTTTAAGATTAAAAAAATAATAATAAAAAAAAAGTAAAAATAAAAGGATTAGGAAGCAAAATCAATTATTATTTTTTAAGATAATTTTTTTTTTATTTTTTTTACCAACGAAATAATAAAATAAATTAAAAATAATAATGGGTTTTTATTTTTTATTTTTTTAATTTTTAATTTTAAATTTTAATAAATCCACTCCAAAAATTGCCTTTTATTTTCAGCTTTTTCCCCCACTTTCACCTCTCTCACCAATCATCATCATCATAAACACTATCTTCCCTTCTTTTTAACTTTTCAACAAAAAGCTTCAATTATTACAAACAGGCATTACAGAGGTTTCTGGAACAACCTTAATTGTATATTCCTTTCACCCATCTGTCACTCACTCATGTTCACTACTAATAGATACTGTGTCAGATCTCACATCTAAAAAAGAAAACGAAATATTATTTATAAAGGCGTGAAAACTTCATCCTAATAGATATGTTTTACAAATTTTGAGAGAAAACCCATAAAAGACAATAAACCTTAAAGAGGAACCCAAAAAGAAAAACCTAAAAATGACAATACATACTAATAATTGAAATATCAGCATTTAATATTCAAACCCTTCAAATTAATTAGGGTTTTGAGTTTAAATTTTTATTTTCACATTAATTTTTAGTTTAAAAAGTAAGTTACATATAAATTAATTATCAGCCAAATGAAAATGGTTTATTCACAAAATCAAATTAAATATAATATAAGAAAAAAGAAAAAAGAAAAAAGAAAAAAAAAAAAAACAAGCTCTAATTTCTCTACCTCAATTTCTCAGCAATAAATGTGGCCCATCAACCCTTCTATAAAAACACCCTTTTTAATAGATTCAGCTTGGTAGGTAATATTTAATTCACAATAACTCTTTTTATTTTAATATTCAAACAAGAAAAGAAAAAAAAAAAAAAAAAATCCATTTAATTTTAAAATATTATATTTTCTTACAAGACAGTGACATTTATTATAGTTTTTAACAAATTAAACCATAGAAAATATCATTCATTTTAACCATTAATTTCTAAAATTTAGATAAAAATTTTAAAAAATAAACATAAAGACATGTTTAAGGATGTCGAAGCTTCCTTCCAAACCGTGGTTGGTTTGTAACCAATAATGCTTTTCACCGGTCCCGCAATGGAACTGCAAATTCAAATTAAATATTAAAAAAAAAAAAAAAAATCCAATTCTATAAAAAGTTGCATGCCTTTTTCCCTCTCTCTCAACTTAATTTCTTTCTTTATTTTTATTTTTATTTTTTTAGAATGATGAATACATCGAGACCACGTCTGAATGAAAACTATTTTAATAATAGGGTAATTAAAAAATATTTAAATTATAAATACCACTTGTTTTGTTTGAAATAATTTGAGTAAGGACAAACCGGTGTTGTTTTGTTGGGATTGTAACATGTTTACATGCGAGCGAGGATAAAGTAAATGATCGAACAATTTTAATTTTAATTTTTAAAATTATTTTATTTGGAAGAGAAGGTTCTGTTTGGTTCAGTAAGACCCAACAACCACCGTAGTACGACCAGTGGTAGTATTGTAATTTTGTAGGAAAACAAGGCCTCAATATTACCGCGAAAAATCTAAATTCTTATTCTTAAATAACTATTGAGAAATTAAAAAAAAAAAAAAAAAAAAAAAGGTTTACAAGTTTTCACTCTCATCGTCTTCTCCAGCTCACTGATTCCTGTAATCCCAAACAAAGCAATCCAAATGCCCAAAACTTCTCTCTGTTTGCTTCGCATCACTCTCTTCTCTTCCATATCGATCTCTTTCTATTCCTGCCATTTTTCTTCTCCTTCTTAATGAGTTAAGCGCCACTCTATGAGCTCCGGGACATTCCCCAATGGGTTGCGTTCTTGGCAGACAAGCCGCCGACGGTCGCCGGAGCGCATCCGGACCTCCTCGTCGACACCGGAGTACGGATCACCACTCTCATAGCGATGGAGTTAATGGTGAGAAAGTTAAGAAAGAAACGACTACAGCGGAAAACCAGGGAGTTCGGCAGGACGTGGATTCCTTGTCCGTAGAGCGTCGGAGGCCTTCATCAGGCATTTGCCAAAGGAATGAGCAAGGTTGGCCGTCGTGGCTTCTGGCAGTAGCCGGCGAGGTGATCCAAGGATGGACGCCTCGTCGAGCCAATACGTTTGAGAAGCTTGCTAAGGTGTGCCACGTGTTTATGATTGTTTTTTCGCTTTTTATCTCGATTCAATAGTTGTAGAAAGTTTGTGTGATTTTTGGTTCTTGGTGATTCAGATTGGGCAAGGGACGTATAGCAATGTGTACAAGGCGAGGGATCTTATTACTGGGAAAATTGTTGCTCTGAAGAAGGTTAGGTTTGATAATTTAGAACCAGAGAGCGTAAGGTTTATGGCCAGAGAGATTTTGGTCCTGAAATGCCTCGATCATCCCAATGTGCTTAAGCTTGAAGGCTTAGTTACTTCGAGAATGTCGTGTAGTCTTTACTTAGTGTTCGAGTATATGGAACACGACCTCGCCGGACTTGCTGCCGGTCAAGGAGTCAAGTTCACGGAACCTCAGGTATCGATTCCATTTAATCCAGATTGTTTCCAATATTGGCTGAACCTAAGCATTTTGTTCTTTTTTGTTGATATTTTCCGGCGGTTTTCCTTCGGTTTTGAATTGATGTTCTGGTCTGCTCCGGCTAGCTTTCCTTTTCGCACTTTAATTGTTCGGAGTCTCAATGTTACTGCAATCGAGCTACCAGGAATTTTTTTGCCCTTTTTCTTCCATTTTGTCCTCTTCCCCTGAAAAGGCAAATTTAGAAGGTTTTCTGCCTAATTTCATGCGTTTAACTTCATTAAGCTACAAGAACATCGAAGAGTTAGATAAAGTAAATTTATGAATTAGTAAATATTGTCCTGTAGTTCATTTGATCTCGGTTTTGTTGAGTTTAATAACTCTCAGCATTGAAATGTAACAGGATTAGATTAAGAAAATGTTCTTAGTTTCTTCGGCATCTTTGTGCGTTTGGATTCAGATATTTCTTCCGGCTTCTCTGTACATAGAAGGAAAGACACTCAACAGAATATTAATCTTTGGCTGAATTCCATTCAACCAGCATAAAACTTTCTCTTATGACATGATTTTATACTTCCAGAATTTCAAGTTCTGTTGCATTTTGAAATGAACATAAGAAACAGGGTTGCTTTTTTCCCTTTAGTTTCTGTTATTTATCATCTCCTTATGTCTCAAGGAATAGCTATATTTCAAAATTGATAGTTGTTAAGGAAGGGATCTAAGATGATGATCAGGGTCTTTTTCAAATTTCTTCAAGTGGATTGTTTGCTAATGAATTCTCTGAGGTTTCTTTAAAAAGTTGGTGTAGTTGCTTGCATGCTACAGAGGATGGCTACTTATGGCATTTGTCACATTGATTATGTCAAAAACATGAAAAGACTGGCTGTAACTTTTCTACCAGGTCAAATGCTACATGAAGCAACTATTGTCCGGGCTTGAGCACTGTCACAACCGAGGTGTTTTGCATCGTGATATAAAGGGTTCCAATTTGCTAATTGATAACGAAGGAGTACTGAAAATAGCTGATTTTGGGTTAGCTACTTTCTTTGATCCTGAGCAGAAGCAGAATATGACTAGTCGAGTTGTAACGCTTTGGTACCGCCCACCTGAACTATTGCTTGGAGCTACTCTTTATGGTATAGGGGTTGATCTTTGGAGTGCTGGCTGCATCTTGGGCGAGCTGCTTGCTGGGAGGCCAATCATGCCAGGAAGGACAGAGGTATTGCTATTTCTATCTCTCTATTCCTCCTCACCTATCTCCTTGTTTTGTAACCTTTTTCTCTGATGCTTACTATGTTGTACCTGGCCTCTGAAGAATTAAATTGACCGATCCACTAAATATGATGCTATTAATTATTGAATCCTTAATGATTGTGAAAAATAATTGATTTGGTCATTGTATATGAAATGAATTTATTCCTTAGCTGTTCATGATGTTTCAATCATTTGAATCCTTTTTCATGTGTAAATATTAAGAAATGGATTGATGATTATGCTTGATATTTCAATAATTTGAATCCTTTTTCATGTAAATATTAAGAAATTGATTGATTATGCTTGATATTTCAATCATTTGAATTCTTCGTAAAAATGTGGATGTTATTATGATTCATTGCAGACGACAGTGATGTTATGCATTGCTTACATTTTTATCTTCCAAGTTCAGTTCATAATGCAACTGTGAGAATCTAGTTCTAGTTTTCCACCTCAGTTTATTCCGCCATATCAAGATGTTTCTTTGTCAATAATTCATCTTGGACTGATGCATCATCACTGTGTGAAGTTGATTCTGGATTACTCCTTCTGTTAGGTCGAACAACTTCATAAGATATTTAAATTATGTGGTTCTCCATCTGAGGATTACTGGAAGAAGTACAAATTGCCAAATGCAACTCTGTTTAAACCCCAGCAACCATACAAACGCTGCATTGTGGAAACGTTCGAAGATTTTCCATCTTCGTCTCTACCCCTTATCGAATCTCTCCTTTCAATGGACCCCGACGGGCGAGGTACTGCCACTGCTGCTCTGAATAGCGAAGTGAGTAACTTTGCTTCATAACATTACTCATGTGAAAAAGAAGTGTCTAATGTTGCAGAAAACAATATATTTAATAGTTCTGATTACAGTTCTTTACAACCGAGCCTCTTGCTTGTGAACCATCAAGTCTGCCTAAATATCCTCCTAGCAAAGAATTGGATGTAAAATTGAGAGACGAGGAAGCTAGAAGGTTTTATTTTTCTCCCTTCCCCTTGCTCTTGTTCTTATCATTTAGATCAGTCCTGGTGTCTTAACAAGCAATAAACGCTTCCATTTCAGGCAAAGAGGTCTAAGTGGGAAAGCAACAGCTGCTGATGGTGGTGGCAGGAGAGTAAGAGTACGCGATCGAGTTGGTCGGGCTGTCCCAGCTCCTGAAGCCAATGCAGAGATGCAATCAAACTTGGATGTAAGTTGAGCTTCCTCCCTTAGTTTCAATCTTTCCATACCTGATTTTCTCGTTAATATCTCTACTTTGTTCTATCAGAGGTGGAGAAATGTGACAAAAGCAAATGGTAAGAGCAAGAGCGAGAAGTTCCCCCCGCCTCATCAAGATGGTGCAGTGGGGTACCCGCCACATGAGACATCCCAGAGGAGCCATTTTTCATTTGGTGCACCTGGTACTTCCTTCAGCTCCTCAATTTTTAATTCAAAATCTGGATCTGTGAAAAGTACAGGAGCTCCTGGGGGGCCTTCTCGGAGGAAGAAAGCGGATAAAGATAACCCATCAGTGTCTTCATCTGGAAAATTCATCCGTGCACTGAAGCCATCAATCGGGTTATCCATGGATCTTTTGTTTAGAGGTAAATAGAAACATACATAATGTTGAGTTTTTGAGATGCCAAATCTGAAATAGCGAAGAATGTATGAATTAAAATGGGTTTATTTGTACACTCCAAATCAAGTTCTTCCCCATCTCAGCTTGGTTCATAAGCTACTACTACAGAGTAGATGTAGAAGAAAGCCTGAGGAGATTTCTGTATATTCTGCAAGATGAGGTTCCACAAATGCCATCATTTTGCTTTGCCTTTTAGTAATATCATAATTATCATTATTTTTGGACATTTAGATTGGTATTCTTATGAAGTTGAATTCTCTGATAATGCTTCTTCCAATGGGTGAAAAACGTTGGTTTTCATGCCATTGATTTACTCGTTGCGATATCTCACATTGGTGGGAGAGTAGAAACCTTCTCTTAGCAGACGCCCTTTAAAGTCTCGAGGGTTAAGCATATTTTTCATCCTATAGAAGGTTAAGAAGAAAAAAAAAAAAAAAAAAAAAATTTGGAAGAGAATAAATCTCATCCGTCCATCGCCGTCTCTGGTTGTAAATTTACCAAATCAGCCAACAAAGCAAGAAACACAACATTGTTCCAATGACTAAAGCTTGTCGGCTCAAATTGCCTTTCAGATCACAATCTTTAATTAATTTTGCCCCAAGAATTCCTCCCTAAAGGATTCAAGATAAATATATTAAATTAATCACAATATAACGTTTATGCTTTTTACGTTGTAATATTTTGTAAAGAGTATCACAATCACACTGTTGCAGCAACAAAACAACGATTGTGCGATACTTATTCTAATTCAATAAACAAGTCAGTCGTAAGAAATTCGGACTTTGGAGACAACGTTTGCATATGCTCGAGTCCTGAATCACGTTTGAGAGAAATATTTTAGAAAACGTGAGCGAGAAAATATGTTAAAAACGATTAGGCAACAACAACGCCTTTAATAGCATATAACCTAGATAGGAACAAATCGACAACTAGTCATATTCCCTATATTAACACAACATGAAATAGTAAAAACCAACCTAAAATGAAAGCATGTAAAATGGGTTTGGAACGGGTATGCGGCTATGAACAACATGTCTTGAACAAGCATGACTGAAATATCCAACATGCAACCATAAACAACATGCCTTGGACAAGCACGGTCGTAACAGAGAGCTCAGGTTCTTGTCATTCAATCTCCTACTTATTCTTCTCGTATTATATTTAAAAAGTTTACGAATCAAAATCAATATTCAAATCTATAATTTAATGTAAGATATGCTAAATGGTGGTGTTCTTTAATGGAACGATGGGGACTGGTTAGCCATTCATTTAATTTAATGTATATATCATTCTAATCATTGCCCAAAAGGTATCATAATCACAAATCTTGAGAATACCCATGCATATCAACCACTAAATTCTCCCCCTTCTTTTTAACTATATACTTAATCAAATTCAAATCAAAATAATGGGTATTACGATCGAAACGGTACACAATTTGTGATATAAAAGAAATTTAGTGACGTTCAACAAAAAGTAACTTTTTACAAGATAAAATAAAAGTGTTCGTAATTGTGCTAAAAGAAAAATAGAAATCAATCAAGATCGATTCTTGTGTGGTTACAAGTGGAGCGAAATTAAGGGTGTGGTGTGGGATGAATTGAATTGCGTATCAAAATCGAAGAAAAAACAAAGATATATATTAACAATATTACATGTCAATCAATCATGCATGAAATTGTTTTTGGATTCATATGAACGCTCCGACACCCAAAAGCTCTTCTTCTTTTCTCCTTCTTTCTTTTTCCTGTAATCAACCATATCTCAAACAATAGGAAATGATTTATGCATGGTCGGACCATGCTCAATTTCAAGAACTTTCTTTTCAAACAAATTTTGATTAACCCATCGTACTAGATACACGTACGAAAAAAGACGTAGAAATGTGCATTATTTCGCGGAGATTTCTCGAACCCTCTTTATAATTCTCGTCATGTAAACAACGGACAATATCAATATCGAAAAAAACGAAAACGACAACTCTCGAACACTCCCTCGCCTCATATTTATATTGCAATCTTCCAATTGAGTGAAGAAGAAGCAAGAGAGGGAGTCAATCATTGAAATCTTACACATCATAGAGACAAATTATTGCATAAAAACAAAACCTAAGAACCCTAAGATTTGTGGTTTAATTTGAGTTTAATTATGGTTCTGATCAAACCCAGGACACGGTTCTTGCGAGTCATCAGCCTGTTATCCCGGACTTCCATATCTTGGGAGAATTATTACGTTTACTTTTTGGGTGGAGGGTTGGCATTTGCCATGTTATGGAAAAGAGTTTATACTTAGCAAAATGGCTATCTTTAATGACCTCACAAAAAGCGAACAAGATAATAACTTTGTAAAGCAAACCCAAAGCCAAAGCCAAAGCAAATAAGGTATTCGTGTCTATCATATAAACTTACCAACTCATCTCTCAATAATTGCCTTACCTTCTTCCCATTCCAATGTTATTGCCCAACAAAACCAACACCATTCGTTCCACCTAAAATATCTTCGATCATCGATCACTATTTACATTATTATAATTAGGGTTTCTATCGAATAATAAATCTCTCAAGAAATTCTATAAACTTTCTATGTTTTCGTAGTTTTTAACCCATTTGATGCTTGTTAGAATATGATAGATTCCACTGTTAGCAGATATTGTCCGCTTTGGTCCGTTACGTATCGTCGTCAGTCTCATAGTTTTAAAACGCGTCTACTATGAAGAGGTTTTCCTACCCTTATAAGGAATGCTTGTTTCTCTCTACAACTGACGTGGGATCTCACAGATCATGAGTTTATAAGTACGAGATACTATCTCTGTTGTTACAAACTTTTAGAAAAATCAAAAGCAAACCCACGAGAGCTTACGGAGAATCGTTGTTTCTAACAAAAACGAAACTGCTCGACACATCTTATCCTCTCGATTTTTATAAATTTGTTAATTTTTTTTTTCCCACCTCAACCTATCTCTAAGATCCAAAACCCCACCAAAAAACCCACTTCATTTTTGTCACTTTTGTATTATTATTATTATTATTATTATATGGTTTTGGGGAGTATTGTTTAGACATATTTATACGTTTTTGATAAATAAATATTATAACAAAGAATTTTAGTAAAAAAGAAATATTTATGATGATGTTTTTGGATGAATATGGTGCCACTTGGAGGCAGACTATTGGGTCCCATGGTTCACGCCTAGAAGGTCAAAAGCTAGGCCGGATAGAACGCAATAACAAAATTAAATAATAAAGAAACAAAAAATAATAATAATAATAATTATTATTATTATTTTTTAAAAAAATAAACAGTGCTTAATTAAAGCTTAAAAATATTAATATTAGATTAATATTAGATTACAGATGTCCTAGGTTAACATGTCCAAACAAAGTGCAAAACGTTTTAAAAATGATCAATTAATTACCTTCTATTTTCATTTGTCGGTAAAAATAAATAAATAAAATAAAAAATAATCTCTTTTAATTATTGAATTCTCATTCCTTAATTCTTCTTAATTAGCAACATCGTACACGCTTACGCTATTTATATTCCATTATTTATAATATTTCCTAATTTTTTTTTTTTATCTCAATTGAAATTATGCATGAAAAAAAAAAAAGACATACACCGATAACGATTGTGCGATACTTGTTCTAATCCAACAAATAAGTCAGCCGTCTAAAATTTGGACTTTATATCGACGTATACTCAAGTTACGTTTGAGAGAAATGTTTTAGAGAACGTGAACGATGAAATACGTTGAAAATAATTTTAAAGAAAGAAATGTTACAAACTAAAAGCAAGTAAGACAATAACAATGGATTTGATAGCATACAATCTAGGTAGGAAGAATTAAGAGCTAGTTGCGCGTCTCGTATGATACATTTTGAAGTATGTTAGCCATGACGGGTATAGATTAGTGTTAAAAATGAGAAATAGAATTGGGATCGAAGTTGCGTATTCTCATTGATATTCATAACGTTTAAATAAGATACAAACTATACGATTTACAAATAAGGAAAATATAAACTAATTAAATATTAAGATATATTCCTTGACTAACCGTTGACACAATCAAACAGGCATGTGACTATGGACAATACGTTCTATACAAACATGATTGAGATATTTGATATGCGGTTATAAACAATACGTCTTGAACAAACATGACTACGAGAAAGAACAGGTGGCTAGAAAGGCTTCGTTGGGATGGTTTTGTAACGTACGTAATTCTCCTTCCTTGAGTGATCATAATAATGATAATAATTGGAAGAGGTGAAGGTTGAAGGAGTTGATATTAATAATTGTGGTTCATGATTTGATGGGCAACAGTGAGTATCAGGTGGGCTTATAAATATGGCAGCTTCACACATTCTCTTATTGCAACCAAAATAAAACCTTTCTCTTTCATTCCAATCATACAATCTCAGAAAGTGATGGCTTTGTTTGATACCCATCACCCTGCTGTTCTTGCATTTGGCCTTCTTGGTACCATTCTTTCTCCCCTTTTTTCTTCACTTGTTCCTAATATCCTTACCATTTCCTCATCGCTTCTTGTAATTTTGTAGGTAATCTTATCTCCTTCATCGTGTTCTTGGCTCCTTTGTAAGTATCTACTTAACTTCATTCTTTTCAATGTGTATTTTGAGCTAAAAATTAAAGGGTTTTGGTATGTGGGTGTGGCAGGCCCACGTTTGTAAGAATTTGTAAGAAGAAATCAACTGAAGGGTTTCAATCAGTTCCATATGTGGTGGCGCTTTTCAGCGGCATGCTTTGGTTATACTATGCCTCATTCAAGCCTGATGAAACCCTTCTCATTACTATCAATTCGGTCGGGTGCGTCATTGAGACCGTTTACATTGCCATCTTCGTCGTCTTTGCTCCCAAGCAGATTCGGGTACGTTCTTGTATTACTTCTTGTTACGAATCGCGACTCTCTATAATGGTATGATATTGTCCACTTTGAGTATGAGCTCTAGTGGCTAAAATGCCTCATATCAATAGAGATAGTATTCCTTACTCATAAATTCATACTTATTCCCGTATAGGACTCTCTTTCAATAAGCTTATAGAACCCTCGAACAGCTATAGTTCGTAAAGGTTTGAACTTTTTTCATGGGGTTTAACCTTTTGATCCAAATATGAACAGGTTTCCACGTTGAGATTTGTTCTTCTATTGAACTTTGGTGGGTTTTGCGTAATTCTACTTGTGACTCACCTATTAGTGCAAGGCTCCGACAGAGTGAAGGCTCTTGGATGGATTTGTGTGGCTTTTTCTGTGTGTGTCTTTGCAGCTCCACTTAGCATCATGGTTAGTGTTGTTTTTTCACTCTTTCTTTTGAAGAACAACTTTATGTTAATTATTGCTTTTTTTTTTTTCTTTTTTTTCTGATGTTTTTATTTTCGCTTTTGCTTTATAAAAGAGATTGGTGATTCGAACAAAGAGCGTGGAGTTCATGCCCTTTTCTTTATCGTTCTTCCTCACACTCAGCGCAATTACATGGCTTCTTTACGGCGTATTTCTCAAAGACTTTTACGTTGCGGTATTACTTCAATAACCCTTTGACATTCTATTAAGAATGAAAAACATAAGTGAGATTGAAAGTACGGTAGATAACATTTAAAATATCTTAAATTAAATTTCATAATACATTCAGACGAATTATCGTGACGATGACCCGAAATTTTGATTATTCTCAGCTTCCAAACGTGTTGGGATTTATATTTGGGGTAGCACAAATGATCCTGTATTTGATCTACAAGAAGCAAGAGATAGCAATGGCAAAGGAAATGAAGCTACCAGAACACACAACCGAGATTATAATGATAACCGCCGCCGCCGCCGCCGCCGCCGAAGAAAAGGAAGATTCTTCTCTACCACCTTCTATTGGAGCCATTGAGGTAATAATAACCAACGGAATCCAACACGACAACAAGATGGAGCTGGACCTTAAAGACAAAGTCAAAGACCAAGTCAAAGACAAAGACAAAAACTTGGAAGTCAACCACCAAATTACAGTTCCTATTGTTGTTTAACTATAATCTTGATCTAACCTCTTGTTTTGTTGAAGTTTATCGGTAATGCTTTAGTTTTGGTCTTTTAGTTGCCCAACTTTTCTCTATGCTACCATGTGAATGATGTTATAATAGCTAGAGATTAGTGTTTATGGTACGTCCATAATTAAGTAGGGTTTTTTGATGAAGCTTTCCTCTCGTGTAATTAATACTTATTTTTAATCAATCATGTTTTGATAAGTACGAGGATTTTGGTTCTAATCTTATAGCTTTTATCCGTTATTCGTACCGATTATACTTTTATAGTAAAGTATATTAATGAAGTCATGTCGTGTTTTCGTTACGATTTACTATTCTTTGAATTAATCATGGTGGTTTAGGCAGAGAAAAAGTGGGATAATTAGATGATTTAGAACATTTAGAACATGTTGGAACTTTTAGCTTTTGAATGCATAATTAATTAATACTCCCCATGCTTCTCCAATTAAGCATGCATAAATAAATAAATTAGAATTAAAATAGATAGATAAGTGGATTAATATAGAATAAAAAAAAGTGAATATGTAACCGCGTCAACCTCATGATTCTTATACGCGTTTTTTAGGGAGGTTTTCACACTCTTCTAAGGAATGTTTTGTTCCGCTCTTCAACCGATGTGGGATCTCACGATCCACCCATCTTGGAGGCCAGCATTTTCGCTGGCATGTTGTCTGGTGTCGGGCTTTGATACCATTTGTAATAGTCAAAGCTCACCGTTCATTACATGCCGCCATCAGTTTTACAGTTTTAAAACGCGTCTCTATGGAGAGGTATCCACACGTTATAAGGAATGCTTCATTCCCCTCTCCAATTGATGTAGGATCTCACAATCCACCTCTTTGGGGCCCAACGTCCTCATTGGCACATAGCCCGATGTCTAGCTCTTATATCATTTGTAACGGCCGAAGTTCATTGCTAATAGATATTGTCTGTTTTAGCCCATTACGTGTCACCGTCAGCCTCACACGTCTTTTAGGGAAATGTTTTCATACTCTTATAAAGAATGATTTGTTCTCTCTCCAATCAAAGTGGGATCTCGCATAAATCAAATCGGCTTATAATTCATATAAAAAAGAGTAGTTTGATTACTCTTAAATGATAGAATAATTAAACAAATGTGTAATCCGATAATGCGAAGATAAAAACGGAGTCTTTATATCCATTGATGTCACTCACCAATTTCAAAATCACAAAGCATTAAGGAAGAAGGTGGGATTGGTTTGTTTCTCAATCCCATTCCTTTTTGAACCACTAAGGTTTTTATTGAAGCAATAATATTAGTTGGGTTGCTTTAAAACCTTAATTTCATTTTCATTTTGTACGATGAATTTGCTTTTTGGTCTTAAAAAACAAAAGACATGTTTGACTATTATGTTATTACGTACACTTCACCAAGTCCCAACACCTTTTTCTTCACCCTCTCCATCAAACCCATCTTTTTTTTTTTTTTCCTTCATTCGACAGGTTGGTGTCGGAGGAGACTTAGGGTTTGGCGGCCGGTTATGGAGTTTGGGGGACGATGAAAATGAGAAATGGGAAGTTGAGAGATGCTGGATGATCAATGTTATGATATGATATTGTCCACTTTAAATATAAGTTCTTTGGAACACTTGAACAAAGTATACAATTGAGCCTCTCTCGAGTACGTTACTGGTCCAATAGAGCTCTATCACAAATCTTTACTACGACTATACCTTCGAGTCTCACAACCACAACCATGGATCTTCAATATCACTACACCCTTCAAGGCCTACAACTTCCTTGTTTGTCACCTAAAGAATCTATTTGTAACACTTGAGTAAAGGAGTGATACATGAATGAATCGAGATCACATTCGAATGAGAGTGACCTTCAGGATAGTATGAGTAAGAAAAACCTTGAAAGTCACTAACTATACCAACAAAGTGCATCTTCCCTTTTGGTGCTTTACTTGGAGCAATTCTATGTTGGGTGAAAGGACTCATGTTAGTCTCTGGAGATAGTTTTCACTCTTAAAAAATATGGAGTAGGTAACGTGACCATATTGCAGAGGATGCAGAAAAATGTCAAGACCAACAAGTGCCGAATCCATATTCCAAATTTCGGGCATAGATTGTCACACTACTGACTTAGTCAAGTTAAGATAAAGACAGAATTCTAATACTACTGATAGTGACAAACAACCTTATAATAGTATGATATCGTTCACTTTGATCCTAAATTCTCCATAATATGATTTTCTCCTTAATTATCCGACGTGAATTCTAACCGCCGCCTTTTTAAGTTTGCTTACAAACAACACAAGGCTATTGAAAACTCATGAAATTATGTAGGTTCATTGTGAACACTAGCCAACCAATCAATCAACACCAACTTACCACTAACAGCATGGAGAGAGATGGAGAGGAAGGTACGTCTACAAAGAAGAGCTCTAAACTCTGGTCCATCCCTCCTTTCAAATAGGAGTGGTCAAAGCTCTAACCTCTAACCGTCTAAGCGCACCGCACCGCACCGTCCTCTATAAAAGAAGATCTCTAAACTCGTGGTCCATCCCTCCTTTTAAATAGGAGGGGTCAAAGTTGTAACAGTCAAGCCCATCATTAGTAGATATTTGTCATGACTCGATATTTTACTATGAACCGTGACTCAAAAGACAATGTGTATGCAAAGAAAAAGTTGATAAGGTGTAAAGGCGAAATCATTTATTCCTATAAAGAAAGTTTCAATACAAAGATTCGAACTAAATGAAAGTTCTCAAAAACAGAAATGTGAAAATCTAAATACAAAAGAAAATACTGGACTGACGCCCTCGGGACATGCATTCCTATGTGACAATCCGCCCCTCTGATCACGCCCTACCTCGATTTTGGACGAAGTCTCAGCGGCGGCTCCTCAATTCTCCCAATCTCTCTCGTCGTCTTCCCTTTCTTTTTGGTGGCCTCTATTAGGGTTCCACTTGGACCCTAGAGTAGGTGGAGGGGCAAAATGACACATTTGCCCCTCCATGGGCTTGGGCAGATTTATTTATTTATTTTTATTTTCTTTTATTTCGTGTTACAATATTGTTCTAAGCTATAACACCCTACGCCCACGGTTAATAGATATTGTCTTCCTCTTTGAGTTTTTCCTTCCGGCAACTCTCAAGGTTACTAGGGATAGGTTTATTCCTCTCTCCAACCGATGTGGGATCTCACAGTTTACTCCCTTCAGGGCTCAGAGTCCTCGCTGGCACACGGCCCGGTGTCCACCCCTCTTCGAGGCTCAACATCCTCACTGGTACATTGCCTGGTGTCTGACTCTGATATCATTTGTAACGACCCAAGCCCATTATTTGTAGATATTGTCCCTTACGACCCATTACTTATCGCCGTCAGTCTCACGATTTTAAAACACATCTACTAATAAGAGGTTTCCAGACCGTAATAAAAAATATTTTTTTCCCCTCCCCGTAACGACTTGGTGTACCGAACTTAACTTATACATTCTCGTACTATACTGCATCCACCAGCCGAACAAGTAAGGAATTCCTCCCCAGTGTGTTGGCTTGGCTCCTACTTTGCCTGATTGATTGGCTATTGACAGAGCAGACATCTATATTATACCAGCAGACGAAACAGACATGACAATCAAAAGAATGAGCCAAAACCGAACCAGCAACGCCCGCCCACCCGTCCAATATGTATGTGGGCTCAAATATTCAGCACTTCCTCGACCAATTATTACCATTCATACGTGGCATTCATTTTTTATTTAATGTAAACAAAATCATAATGATAATCTTTGGCATAGTTGAAAGGTCAAAGCTCATAATAATCATTTGATTTGATGGCAAACAGTAACAATCCACCAGCTCTATATATAATAGAGCTTCCAACATTAAGTTCTTACAACAAAAACAAAAGAAAATAACATAAGATTTTGGTTCAAATTCTAATCTCAAAGGTAATATCGATGGCTTTATCATTCAATATGCATAACCCTGGAGCCTTTGCATTCGGCCTTCTCGGTACCTATTCTTTCACATCCCCTCTATCCTCAACCACAATTCAGCAACATAAATAACCCAACTCTCTTCTAATTTTGTAGGTAACCTTATCTCCTTCATCGTGTTCTTGGCTCCTCTGTAAGTATCCACTTCACTTCATTTTTTCAGTGTATTTTGAGCTACAAAATTAAAGGGTTTTGGTATGTGGGTGTGGCAGACCAACGTTTATAAGAATTTGTAAGAAGAAATCAACAGAAGGGTTCCAATCAGTTCCATACGTGGTGGCACTTTTTAGCGCCATGCTTTGGTTATACTACGCCTCATTCAAGCCTGATGAAACCCTTCTCATTACAATCAATTCAGTTGGGTGTGTCATTGAGATTGTTTACATAGCCATCTTCGTTGCTTTTGCTCCTAAGCAAATTCGGGTATTGTTCTTGGATTAGTTCTTAAAGGTTTCAACTTTTTTTATGGAATTTAACTTTTTGATCCAAATTTGTGCAGATTTCCACGTTGAGATTTGTTCTTCTGCTGAACTTTGGTGGGTTTTGTATAATTTTACTTGTGACTCACTTCTTAGTGCATGGCTCAAACAGAGTGAAGGTTCTTGGATGGATTTGTGTGGCCTTTTCTATCAGTGTCTTTGCAGCTCCATTAAGCATAATGGTAAGTATCTTCGTTACTATGTTAATTTGTGTTGTGTGGCGTATGCTACCGCCTTCAATGCTCTGATACCACTTGTTGTGTACCGAAATGCTACAACTTCAATGTTTTTTTATACCAATTGTTGTACTTATAGCGGAAGCAATATCGAATTTACTCACACACCCACGAATGAAATTTAAACAAAGAGACAGATTTAAAGAATTTTTCTCTTCGAACTACGTAAATCTTTGTCTCTTTGTTTAGATTTCGTTCATGGGTGTGTGAGTATATTTGATCTTGCTTCCGCTATGTTGAGGATTATTGGGAGTGAGTCCCACGTTGGCTAATTTAGAAATAATCATGGGTTTATAAGTGAAGTACTACATCTCCATTGATACTATGCCTCTTGGGGAAGCCCAAAGTAAAGTCATGAGAGCTTATTCTCAAATTGGACAATATCATACGATCGTAGAGGGTCATGATTCCTAACACGTTATTAGTATCAGAGCATAGAAGGTTGTAGCATTCAACCATTTCTTTGAAGAACGGTATGTTAATTTCTCGATTTTTCTTTACGAAAGAGATTGGTGATTCGCACGAAGAGCGTGGAGTTCATGCCGTTTTCTTTATCGTTCTTCCTCACACTGAGTGCCATTACATGGCTTCTTTATGGCGTATTGCTCAAAGACATCTATATTGCGGTATTTTTACTATTCACCCTATAAATTTTAGACCAATTATTAGTATAATTTGATGATTGAAATTCGTGTTTTGATTATGGTAAGCTTCCAAATGTGCCGGGGTTTATATTCGGGATAGCTCAAATGATTCTTTATATAATCTACAACAAACAAGAAATAGCAGAGGAAATGACTGCCGCCGCCGCCGCCGCCAACGCCGCCGCCACAAACTCTGACAAAGAAAAACAAGATTCTGTTGAAGCGGTTGAGGTAATCATAACCGAAGTCAACAACGAGGACAAAGACAAGAACTTGGAAGTCAACGGCCTTATTAGAAACCCTAATCATGTTTAATTATATTTTAACCCTTGATTTTCAAATGAACTCATGGGTCTTTCTTGTTGAATCTCTCTCTCTCTCTCTCTCTCTCTAGTGTTCAAGTTTGCTCGTAATGGTCTGTTTTTTTTGGTGTTTAGTGGATGTATTTGCCCAACTTTTCTCTATGCTACCACGTAAATCGTGTAATTTAGCTAGAGATTAGTGAGGTCATTATGGTGCCTCCATAATTAAGTAGGTTCTTGTATCCAAAAGTTCGTTCTTTTTATGAATCTTCGCTCTCGTGTCATTCGTTTTTATCTTAATCAATCCTGGTTTGACGAAATGGGCACAAAGCTTTAGTTAGATCTCGATTGAAGAGAGGAACGAGAGCCTAGACGCTGGCCCTGAAAAGGGCTGGATTGTGAGATCTACCTTTGTCGGGAAGGAGAATGAAATATGGTTTAGGGTTTAGGGAAATCCCAAAGAGAACAATATTCAATAGCAGTGGGCTTGGGCCGTTACATTTATACATAAAATTTGAGCATAATTTTGATTTAATTATGTTACATTCTTACGGTTGAATTTTAAGTTTAGTTTCCATTTGGTCGTAGAAATGGAAGATTTTATACTTTACTCACCATTTTCACTCGGGTTCGATAATTAAATTAGTTTTAATTGATTCTTTTTGTCACTATTAAATTTGAAGTTAAACGTCAAAGAGAAAAGAATGATATGATAAACATATAACGTCCAATAAAATAGGGATCAAATGAAAATTAAATAAAAAATCAGGGATAAAAATGTAACACCTTCAAACTTATAAACATTATACAAATTATATATATATATATATATATATATATATAATTAATGTGGCTTGTGTTATAAAGCAATTTTTCATTATCCAAGATGTGCATGGTTAATATTTCAATTATAATCTATTGTTTTAAAGTTGATTGAAATATTCCATCAAACAATTTTAACTTTAAAATAAGGTGATAAATAAACGTGATAATGCTGAGTTGTAAATGAAACAGCGTCGGACATGACTTTTTGAAAATTTTGATCCATAGAAAGCGAAAGTAAAGTTAAGAGAGAATGACAAAAAAATAAAGGGAAAAAGAAAAGTTATGGGAAGAAATTTCAGAAGAAACGACAAGTTTTAAATTAATTAAAGAAAATAATGCTTTCAAAAAGGGGAAAATAAAAAAGAAAAGAAATTTACGAGGAGAATCTCGAGGTTGACGATAATATGTAATGGACCAAAACAGACAATATCTACTAGCGGTGAACTTGGATTTGGACTGTTACAAATAGTATTAGAGTTAGACACAGGACAGTGTGTCAGCGAGGACGTTGAACCTCCAACAGGGGTGGATTGTGAAATCTATAAGAGTGTAGAAACCTCTCCTTAATAGACACGTTTTAAAATCGTGAGTCTAACTACGATACGTAACGTGATAAAACAAACAATATCTACTAGTTGTGGGCTTGAACTGTTATACACCAAGTCTTAGAGTGTTGCTCGAACGCTGCATCCATTGGTCGTGGTTGATGTTCATCTCTTATTAGCTTCCTCAAACTCATCATTTGAAGGTTTACCATTCCCACTTCCGATCTTCCTTTTGGTCCCTTTTTGAAAGCAATAATTTCATATTTTTGATTATTTGAAGCTCTTCCGTTTGGCATTAAAGTTGGTCAAACAGCGATGATCTGAGTGTTTTGTCGGAGTTTAATAAAGATAATTCTATCCAATCTCTTGTTTCTTCTTCATTGTTTTTATTATATCCAACTTTATTCTTCATCTCTAACAACATCATGCCATGATCATTCTTTCTAAAAGGAGGTTGGAATAGATTACGTGCAAATACTTTATAACCCGAATTAATTGATTTCATGGACGAACACGAACACGAACACGAACACGAACTTTAAAATGATTTTACATGCAAATACTTTATAAGCTTTATTTATAATATTATAAAATAAAATAAAAACTAGAACGCCAATGATAAGATGGTCAACAAAAGTGAGCTACGTGTTTAATTTTTCTTTCTAAACTTTTTCAATTAAATCATTTTTATCTATTAATTTTTTTTTTATAAATAAATTACGCTTTTGATCTCGAAAGTTTGGGAATTGTGATAAATTAGACCAGATTCATAATCGAATGGGAGAGAGTTTTATTAAAATTAAAATAGGATTATCTTTATTAGAATTAATATTATTTTATATTTAAGTGGTTGGATTAAAATAATCGACTTGAAAAGGAAAGATCGACTTTAAAGTGAATGGGCACGGGTTACTAAAGAGCATTTGAAGATAATATTTTTATTTATTATTTTAATAAAAGTTCGGGGCTACAAGATAGTCGAAAAGTTAGAAACCACAACTCTCCACAATAGTATGATATTCTCCACATTGACCATAAGCTCTCGTGACTTTACTTTTAGTTTCTTCAAAATGTGTTGTACCAATGAACATGTATTTCTTATATATAAACTCATAATCGTTCCTTAATTAGGCTCAAGATGGCCGAGGGTAGGGTCGGACAGGCCACATCCATTTCACTATCATTTTTATAAATTGTTATGAAATTTGAATGGTCGAAGAAGTGTTGGAATAATCCACCAAGGGAAATCAATAACCCTAAACTTTTATTGGACAAAATATATGCTTTATTCTAGTGGCTCTTTTACGCCCTGCTTTTTAAATATATATATATTTTTTAATTTAGACACGTGTTGTTTAACGTTTTGCAATTATAAAATTTATATTAATAAATATTTTTCATTCTTAATTTGAATTAGCTCGTAAGTACGTTATAAAGAATAATAATACTAACCGACTCTGCATTGTCCTTTTCTAGGGATGTCTCTTCTATACAGATGACAGTGTGGGCCCATTGGGCCTTTTAATACTACGTCCGAACTGATCCACACTCACTACGGTAAGCCCAATGTTCGGTTTTTTAATTTCTTTTGAATTGAAAATAAGCATGCCATATAATTCTTTTAAAAAGGATTAATGATTTCATATTTATTTTACATACATATGATGTTATGAACATTATTACAATATAAATGAGCAAAAAAAATATTTTTGATCTAATTTAAAATTGATTAAAGTGAAAATAGTTGTAATAAATTAAAATCATTTCTCTACTTATAATAAAAGAACAAATTTAAAATTTCTATAATCCCTGCCTCTTAACACAAAAGGATCTGAAAGCACCATGAACAAATTAATACTAAAAGAGTTTCAAAAAATTTTAACCACAATGACACACCTAACCCTAACCCTAACCCTAACCCTAACCCATTGTCCATGAGCTCTCGGAATACTAAATCCATGATCAATCCCTTAATTAGCCGAGAGACTCCTCTCTCGGCAATACTCGGCATTCAACACTTAATCCTCTTTTTTTTTTCTTCTTTTCCTGTGTTTGATGGACTCCCCCAATCATTAGATCTCATAATTATGTCGTTTGTAAAAGGATTACTTTAGGGTTTTGTCTTTTACAACTAATATTGATGATAATTGGTCAGAAAATAACGCTATAGTCCCACAAACACATGGACAAAGGGGAAGAGATCTATCGTGTTTGAAGGAAAAAGGCACAAAAACCCAAAAGAAAACCAGCCTTCTTACTATATTTTGATAGATCATAGCCTACAGAGGATCATTAATTTGTAAGCAAACAATCAGAGAAATATTCTGCACATAATGGCTTTTAATTCTCCTTAACTTTGTCACACGAACACAGTACTATCAGTTGTATATAACTGACTATATATGTATACACTTGGCCTTACTGCCCTCGATGACCATCTCACTTACCCCCAAAAGAATATTAAAATGAAGTACGTTCCTAGCAACTCTTCCCTATCCTCCATCTATGTATATGCAAAGTTGGTGTCATGACCATTATTAATCCACAACTCCTCCCTTTTCAACCTCAAGTTGACACTAAAAATCAGACCTCACTTGAACCCAAAAAAAAAATCGTAGGAACAGAAAGAGAAAACAAGAAATCCCCATAATCCACACGCATATAAAGCAAAAGCAGAACCCAAAAAATGAAAAGGAAAAGAAAAGGCAGGTGGGGGGGCCATCGTCAATCAGTAATAGACTAAAGTACCTGCTGCTGCTGCTGCTGTTTCAAGTGCTTCATATGAGCGTCTCCTAGTTGCGTTGGCTTGTGTCATTTCAGTTTGCAGACAACTGAGGAGACTGAAAGCGGGTAAGGGTAAGTGTTTGCATACTGGAAAGAGAGTGTACCGCCGTAGACAAGAGGCTTGCCGTCATTCACGAGGCAGTCGTCGTAATGAAGGCGCTTGAAGACTCTGGGATTGATGAGGTGCGCTGAGCTGAACCAGCCGCATTTGAAGTGAATTCCATAGATATCACAACCAGTGACACAAGCGTTCACCACTTCAACAGTGTAGGTGGGGATACCAGTTGGAAGTGGAGCTGTGGGGCCTTGGTTAATCACTATGTCTGATTTTGTGCACTTTTCACCCCAAATTCTGGTTGGTTCCTCAATTGTTGCTTCTCCTAAAGCACATTCAAATAAAGAAACAGGTCCATGTCATCTGTTGTCATTGTATATTGATCAATGTTCGCGCACCACCCACGTGCAAACATTACTCTTATAAATAAATATCGACCTCCCAATGGGAAAAAGTCTTTGGACACACAAAACACACTTTCGGGAAGTCATAAAGATGTGTAGAGAAAGCATAAACAATCAATTATATAAGATAAAGCAAATTCAAAGGCAATAGATGAGAGGTAATGAGTAAAGAGAGCCTGAAAAAGACAAATCCACGGGAACATTTTTTAAGTTTCTGTTCATTTGTTTGACCCAACAAATCATAAAATTTAATACTACGCCCATATGAAAAATTCAAGAACTAATAAAACTATACCCCCAACCATCCCACTAAAGAGAGTCCACGCATCAACTGTAGAGCTTTCTCGTCAAAGCAATGAATCAATTAGAATCTACAAAGCTAAAACTCAGAAAGGCATTATAATGCTCCGCGCTTTCGGGCCAAAGGTTGCTTTTATGTAATCAATGAATCGTCGACAGAAGAGGAACAAAGGCTGGTGGGTATTTGGGATCTATTTAAGAAGACATCTCCAAAAACAGCTACAGAAAGGCCATATAGGTTAAAGAGCCGAAGCTGGAAAGCTATCCAGCAAAAGGTGTGTCTTAGCTTCATTACTAAGAATGGACGTGCGTGCATTTCTGACACCAAATCAACCATTTATGCAATTGAGTAACCAATCTCTCCCTTCCACCATCCCCGAGATCATAATTCCAATACAGAACAAGAATCAAACGGTTATTAAAATATAAATTTCCACAGCAAACTCAGAAACAAACCTTCCTCTTAACGATTTTATATTGGCATTTACGAAACAAGACAAATCAGAATTCATAAACTTACTAGTCAGGAGAAGCTTGCGATGAGGGGCACCTATTGTGCTGTTCAAACCCAGCCGAAGAAAACTAGGTGGACTCGAGTCCATAAAGGAATGAAAAATATCCAGATCTGCAATCATGTAAGGAAGGGGACGATGTAAAAAAGTAGTAGAACAAGAATAATATCTTTGTTCCTATATGCAGCACAAAACGATAAAGGAGAAAAGTTAGACAAAGACAAATAAAATATCCAGATAGAAGAAGACGACGTATAAGTATATCAAAACAAAACGCAGTAAGAATTAAGTGCCAGCGATGATACAGACCTGTAAGAATGGCAGATACCAAAAAGAAGATGAAGAAAACCGAAGCGAAAATCACCGATACTCGCCTGGTAGTAGACAAATCTTTCATCATTTATAACAGGAATTCTATAGACCTGGAAAGAAATCTGAGGGATGGAACGAGTCGGAGTCGGAAGATTGATACGATGAGAAGAAATTAAAAAACCTGCGTTGGAAAAAGAATGAAAACATCACATCATCAGAGAAAATTGCATTTAAAATACAATCAGTCAAAAGAAAGAAGAGCCGTCGAAAGCAAGCTATCGGTAGAACTTGATTGACTTTAAGAAAGAACCATGGCGTTAAAGAGTCATACAGGCTGAACGGTGGTCAGAGTCTGAGACTGTCGTTAGCAGTTACCTCACAGGTATAGGCGTAGGCGATTTTAATGATGCGACAAGCAGGAGGTGAAATTCAGAAGGCGTAGGAGAAAAAGAGGAACCGCCGGTACAATTCTCAAGGAAAATGAAAAACCAGGAAAAAGCGAAGACAGTAGAAGGAAAACGAAACGTGCTGCGGTGCAAGAGAAGTAGCAGTTATGGCGGAGGAAGAAGAAGGACGAGAACGAAAGACAGAAAAAGGAAGAATACGGATTGATTCAAATGCATGCGAGACAGAGAGAGAGAGAGAGAGGCTGAAAAGTAAGAGAGAGGAAGAAAATGGAGCAGAAAGATCAGCTCGGCAGAGACAAAAATGGCAGAGGGAAATCGTGAATACCTGCAAATAACAAAACACCACCATCCTCAGAAAAGTGTACATCATCGCTTCGTTTCGTATGAACGCATTTATGAAAGAAAATCCATACACATATACAATGCTTCAGAAGGAGACGAGACGAATGGAGAAGAGTGAAACGCAGACGGCGGCGATGGGCGGCAATATGTCGGAGGAGGGAAAAAAAAGGAAGAAGGAGGTTGAGGAAAATTTTTTTAAAAAAAAAAGGGTAAAAATGAAAATAAATGGGAATTAAAGATGTGACAGGCACCTATATAGAGCGGTATTGTAGCGGGGGGTAAGGTAACTGTCACGTGTGCAATATTTGTCCACGTGGGCTTCCCGCCTCGGGCTAGGCTCGGATGCATTTTTCTTTCAAATTTATTAAATACCCATCCTAAAATAATATTCCTTTAAATTCTTCCTTCCTCGGTGGGTCCGGTGTACTGCTGTCGGCTTATTATTTTAATTTATTAAAATTTAAATTAATAAAAATATAACCTCGTTTCAAAAATATTTTTAAACCTAAATTAATTTTATTTAAACTTTTTAAATTATTTAGAGCGAGGTGAAATGATATTTTTATTAATTTAGTCCGTGATATTTAGATTTAAATTAAATTTAATAAATCTTTTAGTTTCAAAAAACCAATAAATATTATAAAAATATTTATGGTCTGACAGTTAACAGCCCTAACTGGGCCGATGAGATGACAATTCTCGCATTGGGCCACCAATGGTTCGTGGGCTCCACCGTTCACGCGTTGAAAATAAAACAGTGTTCTATTTTTTATAAATATAAAATGTTTTCTTTTATCAATTAATTATAATATGAAGTACTCAGATGTAATTACATAATTACCCTAATTGACTTATATTTATTCTTGTAATGAATGAAGCTTAAATTTCTATACTCTTATGATTTTTAAATAATTAAAAATATTGTTAATTTAACGTATAGATAACTTTCTAGAAAGACGAGGATAAAGCTTCACTATTTGACTATTGAAGCGGCCGCCACTGCACTATTTTCAAGCTTTTTAATCTTTGAAATTTATACGATTTTATCTCAAATTTGAATCGTATATACTTTATGATTTTTAGTTATCTATAATAATGACAAAAAATAAAAATAAATTCAATGATTAATTTGAGCTTAAAATTTGTGAAATCTGACTTTTTGTTCCAACAAAAGTCAGATAGAAAGAGATAGAGAGCGAAAATGATAACACTTACAGCGAAAACTACACAAACATGACATAATCAAATGACGTTATACCTCTTTTAAATTTTAAAAGTAATTTAGAACAAAATATATATTATTTTTTTTATAGCTCAATAACATGTAGGGTCGAGACATTTGGATTCTTGAGTCGAAACAGACTTAAAATTAGAGAGGTCCATGGGTGGGGCAAGGACAGGGAAGCCTTCTTCATTCACTGCCACTTATTTCTTTCTTTGTTTTTGTGAAATTCTCTATTTATTTTTTGGAGTTCACAGCAATTAATTTTTAAATAATTATTTTGAAGTTTTAAATTTTTCAATATAATTTTTACAATCTCTATTAAATTTCTAAAAATTTAAATTTTAATATTATAACATAAAATTTAACAATTAAAAAAATCTACAACATAATTTTAAATATTAATCGGATCTTAAATTTAACCAATTTAACTTTTTAATATAGCTAAATTATATTTTTGCGATATTATTTATATTAAGCGGAGTGGAGATGAGGATATCGTCCTCGGCCTTATTCAGATAAAAATATTTTCCACTCTCTCCTCTATTTCCCGTTTAAATAGTAAATTCTCTCTGGGTGAACATGCTAAATTGTCAATATATGAATTTTTTCGAGGGTGGGAATATTCTTGGAATAATTTAAAAATATAATAATTAAATTGTAAATAAATAAATAAATAACCTCTCTTATAATTTATTAAGAACGTAGAAAAATTAGAAGGGTGGGAGTATTCATGTATTTCTTCTAAAAGAAGATAATTAGTATTAAATGCATTTTTTTAGAATATTGTGACAAACAAAAAAAGACCTAATAAAATAATAATATTATGCACGTGAAAATTGTGGGCGCAAAAGAGGAGGAGAGTGCATATATGAATTATTTGATATTTGAATAATATAAATTAAAATTAAATAATATTTAAAACCTACTACCACAACTAAATTTCAAACATGCCACATCAAACTGCCAAATATGACTTTTCTTCTTATTCATTCATTTATTTTTAATAAATACAAAAAATCAACCAAAACTAAGTGACGTCACCTAATTTTAAAACCGTTATAAGAAATTGGATTCGTTTCATTCTCTGATCGAGGTGGGATTTTACAATCACCTCCTTAGAGGTCCAGCGTCCTCGAGATTTGGTCTAAGTTTCTACACCCCCGGTAAGAAATGTTTTGTTTTTTCTCTAGTTGATGCGGGATCTTACCTCACAATCCACCCTCTTTGAAGGTCCGACGTCTTTGGTGTCTAGGTTTTTACACTTCTATAAGAAATATTTCGTTCTCATTTCCAACTATTATGAGATTTCACAATCCACACCCTTTGGAGGTCTAGCGTCCTCGGTGTCTAGGTTTCCACACCCCAATAAGAAATGTTTCGTTCTCCTCTCTAACTAACGTGGGATCTCACAATCCACCCTTCTTGGAGGTCCAGCATCCCCGATGTTTGGCTCTAATAAAATTTCTATAAGAAATGTTTCATTCTCTTCTTTAACCAATGTGGGATTTCATAATCCACCCCCTGGAGGTCTAGCGTTATTGATATCTGGCTCTGATACCATTTGTAACAGCTCAAGCCCACCGTTAGCAAATATAGCATCATCGGTGTCTAACTCTGATATCATTTATAACAGCTCAAGCCCACCATCGGTAAATATAGTATCCTCAGTGTCTAGCTCTTATCATTTGTAACAGCTCAAGCCTACCATCATCAAATATAGTATCCTCAGTGTCGAGCTCTGATATCATTTGTAACAGCTCAAGCCCACCATTAACAAATATAGCATTCTCAGTGTCTAGCTTTGATACTATTTGTAACGGCCCAAACCCACTAGTAGATATTATATCCTTTGACCCATTGCGTATCGCTATCAACTTCATAATTTGGAAACGCATCTGGAGAGAGATTTCCACCCCTTATAAACAGACATGGAATCTTACACTTTCATCTAACTTGGATTAAGAAAGAAGATTCCAACCACAATCCAAATATAAGAGGTGGTTGTTTTTTCTTTTCTGTTTCCTTGTTCCAACGTTATTACGAGTACTTTTTTTGCATTATGTTTTGTCTGGTCTCATGTTGGAGACAAAGGGAGTTCGTTTGTGGACAACACTAAGTGGGTTAACCATATTTGTCAACTCAATTATTAAAACTATTCAAAATAAACCAGCTTCTCTCCGTTGACAAAAAAAACCCCATTTTTGTATGATTAATAATGTAGCCATCTGGAATGGCTGCATAAAAATTTAAACTTTATCCTATAACCTCCCCTCCCTAGTCTACTCCCCCGCCCCTATATAAATTAAAACCGCTCCGGTTCTAAATTTACATGGAGGCCACAAACAAAAAGTGGAGTAAGCATATGAGTTTCAAGGGTTTGGTTCGGAGCCGGTCGGTGGCAGGGAAAACCGGCGTTGGACCGGATGATGCGAAGAAAAAGAGCAAATTTTGGCGAAGTGGCGCGAAACTCAAACATCCGGTGGCTCCCGAGGGTTGCTTTGCGGTGTACGTTGGACCGGAGAGGGAACGGTTTGTGGTGAAGACGGAATTTGCGAATCATCCGTTGTTTCAGATGCTTTTGGAAGATGCTGAGGAGGAGTATGGGTATAATAGTCAGGGTCCGATTTGGCTTCCTTGTGAGGTGGGGCTGTTCTATAATGTGTTGGCGGAGATGGATGGCGGTGATGGGCTCAGGAATCGTTGGATGGGCGGCCAGAGCGGTGGTTTACTCGCTTGTAGCCCTCTTCGGCTGACTAGTTGCGGGAGTAGACATGACGGCGGGTATAGGGTGTTGAGTCCGTCGTCGATGCTTAAGTTAAATGGTCTTTGAGTTATGCATATAAATTTGCAAATATATATATACAATATACACCGGAATATTTCTTATTTGACTAATTCTTTTCTCGTCCCGTTACATTTTGGTCCATTACTTTTCACCTAATCTCACAGTTTTCACGTGAGATCCAACATCTGTTGTGGAGGAGAACAAAACACCCTTTATAAGGGTGTCGAAACCTCTCCCTAACACACATTTGAAAAATATTGAGGGGAAGTCTGAAAGGAAAAGCTCAAAGAGGACAATATCGGTTAGCGGTGGGCTTGGACTAATACATTTCCACACGCTTATACCCTCTCAAACCGATATGAGATCTCACAATCTACCCCTTGAGACCTAGCGTTCTTGTGCGCCCAAGGTCGTCTACTAGAGAGAGATTTTCATATCTCTGTATGTTTATAAAGAATATTTCGTCCCCCTAGATCTCGCAATCTATCCCCTTGGGACTCAGCATCCCCGACCTCATAATCTATACCTTGAAGCCGAGCATCCTAGCATATTAGGGTACGCTCCTACTTGTATTCCCAGTTCCGGCGATCGAACAGAGGGAGGATAAATAAGGGGCTTCAATCCAGTGAGCTCAAGCAGCCATTTCCCAAATGTGTCGGTCGGGGAACTTCCGGTCATTATAAACAAGTAATTCAACCATTCCACCACCTCCGGCAAAAACATCTTCCAGTAAAACGACATCCTCAACCACGGCGGTTCCGTCACGTACTCATCTCCTCTACAACCAGCCCTTAACATCGCTTCCACCGCGCCGCCCACCGGTTCTATCGGCATCACGCTCATTACAGCGTCTCTCAATTCTTGATCAATGTACATCTTCCCGTCTTCGAACATGAATTTCCCTTTCGTCATCTCCGATTCTATCAACCCCGGCGTCACAACCGTAATTCCAATCTCACTTCCAATTTCCACTCTCAATGTCTCATAGAAGCTTATCACTG